ATGTGGTATCTTTGGGATGACATTTTGTGTGACATTATTGTTGACAGTCAGTGCAAGAAAATAGGATTCTACAACTCGTCCACAGGATGAAACCAGTTTTCAAGGGGCAGACAGAATGACTGGGTTTCATTCTATTGGTTTGCATGCTTTGATCACTCAATGTCAGCCCTGAGAGATTAAGACACTTGTCTAGCATCACAGAGCAAATAAATGGGGAAACTTGAGGTCAGACTCGGGTCTGTCTGGCTCTAGAGCTGTAAGTCTGGGCTGTTTTTCTTTATGTGGAAATGGAGTTGGAGAGTTGTAGTCCACTCTCTCTACCTGATGCAAGAGGAACTTGTAGAAATGAAGCCAATTCTGCAGTGGGAGTAGGAGGAAACACCCGGTCTCAGCTCCATGCTGCTAACCACATCACAGGGCTCTGCTAGTCTTCCACAGATGGATTCCTCCAGTTAATCATTGAGCTCCCACTCCCCAGCCAAGAAGAGGTTGATGGGCCAGGCTGAGAATTTCTATAAATGAATGCTGACCAAGCAGTAGCTCTTACTCTAGCCATTCACTTAAAGGGGAGACACAGGCTTGAAGAGGAGCAGCCATGGCCATTGGAGCTTTGATCCTTCCATTTGCTTCCTTGTACAAAGTGGAGAGAAGACAGAAGCCTTTGCAATTTAGCTGCCAGTGAATGCTGAAAACTCTCTAAAGAGAAATTTCAAGGAGTCAGCCATGATTCTCCATCTGTCTTTGTTTAGTTCTGCCTGCTAAACCATGAATAGTTGGGGTCCCCATGTGGACAGTGGGATCTGGCCTTCAAGTCACTCCCAGGAGTAGAGTGAGAAAGAGAATCAGGTGTGGTTAGGAGCTCCAAAGCTTTAGCTGACACACTCATTTGTAGAGACCTTCCAGTACTGCAGCTCCTCTGGTTCTAGATGTCTGTACAGGCTTAGGTGGATGTTCTGGCTATATTTTTTTCCATTTTGAACAGTGTGGTGTCCAAAAGGTGAGGTGTGGGGACTGGAGCCATCTTCTCCTTGCAGGGCCATCTTCCCTGTCCTTCCCCACTTATGATGATTTGGGCACACTAGTCCTTCAAAGACTACAGAATGAGCAACAGGCTACGACCACAGGAAGAAACAAGTGTATGACTTATTCAGACCAGAAAAGCACAGAAAAATGGAGACACTAAATTCCACAGAGAGTAAGTGCACTTTTCTACCTGACCAGTGAAAAGGGACAATGGTAACAGGAAGAATGTCCCAGAACAGTATGGTGGGTAGGGTTATTAACAACCTTATCTGTATGTTCCCAGCTGCTGGACATTCCAATACAACATGGAGCAAGCAAAGGGAGAGACAGCCAGAATATAGGAAGTTTAAAAAGCTGTCAAATCTTTTACCCTCCATGCCAGAGTTCTCTTATAATAACAGATAATAAGAGTTCTCTTTATAATAATAACAACACACAGGGACTGAGATGTTTCTACCATTGGTTGGGGCTTGTGCCTTTTATGCCTCTTTAAAAATATCTTTCAACAACCTTATATGTTTTGAAGGATCACCAAAACTTGTGTTTTGTGTTTGTCCCTTAAAGTGACTTCAAAAATTCAGAAGGTACCTCATCTATTCCTTTGCCTTCAGAAACCATCTGTTTTTGTTATTGGGCTGAGACCCACAAAGGAGCAGTGATAACTTTATGTTCGGCAAACAACACTGGACTAGAAAGGCCAACTATCTTTCCTATGAAAAGGTTGTCTCTTCCTTGGTGGGTCACCTTGCCGCTCAACTCAATGTTGTCATCTGTGAAATGAGGTTTGTTTTCAACACTGTGAATCAAGATCTTCAGCAAAGGTTTTAGTTTTCTTAAAATAGAAAGTCTTGCTGCATAGAAACACATATACACTTCCAGCAAATAAAAGCATGTATAAAAATATTGAAAATGGCCAGGCAATCATGGGCTCAAAGCCTTCATCATAGCTACTCAGGAGGCTGAGATCTGAGGATCACTGTTTGAAACCATCTGGGGCAGAAAAGTCTGTGAGATTCTTATCTCCAATTAACTACCAAAAAATGGTCGTCATTGTGTTATTCAGCCATGGTTGAGGAACATTGAACAAGGTAATCTTTAGGTTCCTTTCAGGGAAATTTATCTAAGCCCTTCTTGTAACTACTGACATGTTCAATGGGTGAGGGTAAGACTTTTTTTTTAAGTTTATTACTCGCTTTGTAATAATTTTCTTGTACTTGTCTAAAGTCACTCCTTCTCTGAGTGACCTGAACTCCAACCCGTTTCACTTGCAACCATCTTCCTCCTCTAGCTGAGTGCTGGAGTTGCTGCTTCTCAGCTGATGACTTTGCCCATGACTGTGACCTTTGCCATAAGCCACTGTCACACACTGTCAATAGAGTGGATGAACTGGAGAGGCGATATGACTTACTGATTGAAATTTTAAAGATCACCTCCTCTTTTTGACCTTTGGCTTTGCATTTTGGAGGCACGCAGTCAGTTTGCTTATGGTAAACACATACTATCTGGTTTTATTAATTTCTCTGATGGTTTTGAATAACAAGCTTATTCATGTATTTAAACTTCTGGTTGTAATTGTATTACATGCCTCTGCTGGGAAGACTCAACTATAGAGATGCAGATAACGTTTAAGGCAAAAGATCAAGTCCAAAATGATGATTCTTCTAGGTAGAATGAATGGAAAGTTTACGAGGGCTACTGGAAGTTCAGACATCAGATAACCTGAGCTGGAGAACTCACCTGATTTACAGGTTGTGTGACTTCAGGCAAGTTATTTTATCTTTCTAAGTTCCACTTCCATCATTTATAAAAAATGAGCAGTTAAAGAATGGCATCCAGGAAAGTTGTATTTGGTGCCAACCAATGAAGGCCTTGGTTTCTTTGCTCACATCTCTTGGACACAGACAGCTGTTGGCTTAGAGTGGAGAATACCTTTGGCTTTTGGAGGGGTCTGGTTTGAGTGAGTAGATACCTGTGGATAACAGGCCAATTTCAAATGAGTTTCAAGGCATTAAAAACAACTAGTTCCATTGGCATCTCAGAAAAGCCACGATTGTTTTATTTCCCTGGCACAACTATTTCACAAGGTGTGCTGCAACTTGTCCCATTTGCCCAAGCCTCGGTTAAGTCCCCAGGAAGAGGACAATGACATGGTGTCATTTGGAAAGGATAGCTGTCTCCTGACAGGAAGAAGCCCATTGGAAGAGGAGGTTGGTCAGCTTGTACCTCTATCTCGTTCGCCACTCCATAGGACTTCTGCAGTTCCGCTGCCTGGGATCTTGGTGTCTTGTAGATTAGCTTTGCTCTTTCTGGGAGCACTGGCTTAGTTGGGATGAGAACACACCTGTGTGTGGTGTTTGATGATTCTGTGGGCTTTTGAGCAGTCTTCCCCAAAGGGTGGCACCAACATTCCACCACTACAGAATAAAGAGCAGGGCTGTGGGTTCCTTCAGACCCAAAGCTGGGGACTTACTGGCTGAGTGATTCTGGGCAAGGTGACTTAACTTCTCTGAGTATTATACTCTTTATATTGCCATCCGTGCTGTTCTTAGATGGGGTGATGTATGAGAAAACCTGTGGGCAATTCTGGCACCTAGGAAGGTTCAGAAAATGGTACCTCTGGTGCCAGTATTGTTGCCATGGTATTGAAGGGTAGAACCTGGGAAATCTTCCACTTTAGGAATTAATTCTTGGGTTTCTTTGTTTTTTAGCAAGCAAGACTTAAGAAATGAATGTGAGACAGGAAGCTAGATAGCTTAAATAACACCTTTTGACCTTGAAAGATGGTGGACTTCTAATTAATGATTAGTTAGATTAGGAAGACTCTGAAACTCAGTCATTAACAGTATAGTAAATCCTAGCAATCAATTTGTAAACACCAGGGACACATCTTTGAAGACTGAAGGCAGAAATCTAGAAATAGAAGATAAATACAAATTATAGCTGTGGGTGATTTCAATGATATGGGAGCTGTCAAGAGAAAAGTTGGGATTTGCCCAGCAAGTTTCCAAAACAATACTCTGGAAATGAAAAAGAATTTTATACAGGCTATTTTTGCTGTATGTCAGATATGCTGTATCCTTTTGTTGTTGTTGGTCATGGGGCTTGAACTTAGGGTCTTGGGTGCTTTCCATGAGCTCTTTTGCTCAAGGCTAGCACTCTACCACTTTGAGCCACAGTACCACTACAGTTTTTGAGTTGACTGTTGCAGATAATAGTCTCATGGACTTTCCTGCCCAGCCTGCATTTGAACCATAATCCTTGGATCTCAGCCTCCTGAGTAGTTAGGATTACAGGTGTGAGCCAGGTGTGAGCAGGGTATGCTTTTTGGGCCATTGGTTAATGTTAAACATGAGGAACTAATAATTAAGCCATGTCTTTTAAGATGTACTTTCTCATTTTGAGGCAAGGCAGTTTTTTTTCCTCCTTTTCCACTAGCACAGTTAGGTCTATCTTCCATCCTAAGGTAGCCAAAGCATCTCATCCTATTGACATAATTTTCTTTTGAACTCAGGGCCTCTTGCTTTCTAGTTAGATGCTCTATCACAAGCCCCTGACTTTTTTGCTCTACTTATTTTTCAAATAGGGTTTTACATTTTCCCCCAACAGTCCTGGAACATAATCTTCTTGTTCACACTTCCTGCATAGCTAGGATGATTGGCACTCACACCTTCAGACTCAGCTTATTGATTTAGATGAGGTCTCGATAACTTGGGCTTGAACTTTGAACCTTCAAATCACTGCCTCCCAAGAAGCTAGGGTTACAGGTGTGAGCCATCTCACCTTGGTAAAAAAATTTTAAATTCACGAACAAGTAAGATAAAGCCACTCAAGTGTATGTAGTTACTGATTTTCTGGCTCATTGATAATATTCAAATCAAATAGACATTATGATTGGAAATGAATAGAAAACAGCCCAGCATATAGTACACAAACTTATTTATTAGTGTCAAAAAGAGAACTTGTTTATAACACAGGAAAGTAAAAAAATTAGAAGTGCTCTACAAAAATTTTAACTGTGCATGTATAAGAGAAGAGTGGCACTATGACCAGGTTTGAAGACTTCACGTGAACGCCTATGTTAGTGTCAGGAAATTGAAGAAGAGTGACATGTGGTAGAAAAATAGATATGCCCATACCACGCTCCTAATTCATACATGTAGCTTGTATTAACTATAGCAGATGTCACAGTTTGCTTCCCTCCTATAGAAATCGCTGGTGGTGGCCACGGAGGGGGCAAAGTCCGCACAGTCTGGGCTTGGGTAGAAGTACTCAGATGTTCTGAGGATGTCCATGTGCTCTGTCTCACAGGAGGCGCAGTAGCAGACCGAGGTGGTAGCTGCAGGGAAGCAGTTGTACTGGGTGTGTGAGGACAAATGGTGGTAGGAGCAGTTGTCTGGAGGGAAGCCAGGGTTTAGGGTGTCCAGAGATGGGGGAGAGTTGTAACTCTCAGGAGCATATGAAGGCAGCTGGGCTGGTGAGTAACTGTAGTCAAAGGAGCCAGAGAGACTGGAGGAATCTGAAGGTGATCCTGGGGTCTAGACACATGAAAAACAACAACAACAAGGAACAAAGAACTTGAAAATGTAGACAGGATCAAATGAACGGAACAGTGCGGATTTATTAACGCAGAGTAAGAAAATGAGGGGGTCACAAACCAAAACAGCCAACCCAAAGTCCACAGAAGTAATTGTATTTGCTGACTCCATGATTTCACGACACCACATTTTATATTTACCTATTTCCTTCCCAACAATTAATTGTCTTGCTTCACTGGCTTCCTTTGTTATCACCATGCTTTGGAGGATGTTTTGTTCTTAAACCACAAGGTCCCATTGTGTGTCTGGTCACCTGCGCACGGAGTCCTGCTGTGTGCAGCAATATAAGCTGCAGGTGGCCCTTTGGATGTGTCTTTATACCTTTGGCATAGAGAACCAAGTAGACAGGAGAATCTGGATCTCCCTAGAGCCGAACTTCTGGGACATTCCAGCAAGAGAAGCCACCTTCCCTGTCATTAAAATCTTACCCCCTGAGGGGAAAAGTTCCAACTACCTTCTCTTAAGTAAGTCTCTAGTCGTTAGTGAGAAAGCCTGACTTGGAAGCTAGAAGAGAACTGGGCTGTTGGAACCCTGTATTTGCCTCATGGCAATATACCTATGCTGAGTGTTAATTGCTGTCCCCTCTAAAATCCAGTTTGCTGCTTATATAGACTTTTTGAGAAACCAAGAGGAAAAAGTATTCACATGTCTTCCTTTTATTTTTAAACTTAACATTTACGAGTTTTAGAAAAGCATAAACCTCCAATAGACATCTAGAAAAACTAGAAACGGCTCATGTAAACCTTATTCTTTCTTTCTTTCTCTTTCTTTCCTTTCCTTCCTTCCTTCCTTCCTTCCTTCCTTCCTTCCTTCCTTCTTTCTTCCTTTCTTTTTTTTCTTTCTTTCTATTTTTGTGCTGGGACTGGGGCTTGAATTCAGGGCGTGGGCACTGTCTCTTAACTTTTCACCCCTTCAAAGCTGGCGTTCTAATTCTTGAGCCATAGTTCCATGTGTGGCTTCTTGCTGGTTAACTGGAGGTAAGAGTCTCATGGGCTTTCTTGCCCAGACTGGCTTTCAACCTCAGTCTTCAGAACTCAGTAGCTAAGATTACAGGTGTGAGCCACTAGTCTAGCCTAATTTACTCATTTTAAAGGGAAATATATTTTTGAACACTTGAGATTCATAAAAAGGGAGACAAGTCAAATTCTTTCAAATGAATGGTTCATTTTATGAACCATCTTAGACCCAAATGAGTTCTTATGTGCATAAGAAGATCAAAACAATCAGTTAGTAGAGCTGATTGAGTAACCAAACCAAACCAAACCAACCCCCACTCACAGAATGAAGTTTGAAAAAACAAACCTTAATTCTATTTCAAAGAACTCAAAACCCACCTACAAATTAGCCAATGTCTTTGCCTTACAATTCAAGAAACAGCAGGGGAGCTGTGGCCACACATCATCTCACCTGAGAAATTATAATTGTGTTATGCCCTGTGATGTGTCCACACGTGGAATCCTTGTCGAGAAAATTTATGTGCTTTCTCACAAGATGAGGCAAACTCTCTTACAAATTATTACTACCCAGGAGTTAGCAACCATTCGCTTATATGAAGAATGAAGATACATTACCAGGCTCTGATTAAAACAGAAAGGGGTCGCTTGGAAGCCCTCTGGAAAATAGTAGGGAGTGCTTGGTGTGGAGTTGAACAAAGGATCTGGGGATGTTTCCGTCTGCAGATAGGAATCAAAGATCTGGTCCAAGCAGCTTGGATTTTCTTCACAAGAAACACAAGTGGAAAATTCACGGGGTTGAAAATAATTGTTTGTGGAAGACATTGGCTCAGGCTCAAAATACAATCCTAAAGGAGGAAGGGAAAAGAAATGTACTTCTAAATGACCCCATGGATTTGAATAGAGGTATCATCTGTATTCTGAATAATTGCTCTATCAAGGGGAGAAAAGCACTTGAGAAATTCCACTAAAGTAAACAGGCAGACAATTTGTACTTTTTAGTTGTTTTAGTTAAACCAAGCACCAGCGAAATGAATCTGGTAAATACTGTGGCAGGGAATATAATATAAAACAATATGACCAGGGAAAGAAAATAAAGCCTGGTGGTCCAACCTGTGTCCGAGTGTCACAGTGGAGATATGATTCAAGCCTCCATGGTCTTGGGTTCAAAAGCCATCGACACCCAGCCCCCATATCTGGTTCAAGTAAGCCTCTCCGCAGTGACTGTGACTAAGAGATCCGGGTGAGGCTCTGAGAAAATTTCTGACACTGTGGGAAAATACTCTTTGTGATTTACGACTATTGCTTTCCTAAACTTCACACCCCCCCAACTGAATCTTGAAGAGAGGGTTTTGAGAAGTGGTATCGATGGCAATAGAAAGAATAAGAAATGGAAACCAGCATTACATGTTTAAAGTCATAAAAAGCCAACATGTTTTCTTAATGCATATATTAAAATGGTAATGCAGTGAACAAACTTGGTAAACACCACACAAGACTTAGTTGCTGTTTTTTTAAAAATCATTCCTTTTTCACTCCAGTCTTGATAGAACTGGTGTGTGATAAATATCCCTAAATGCTCCAAGAAGAGACATTGAAGAGGATACTCACTAATGGAGCCACAGGACAAGAAATTGTTTTTTTGCAGTCTTAAGTTCCTTTACGGCTATGTGAAAGAGATGTATTTGTGGCAGCTAACATCAGTGCAAGCTTCCTTATGTATGACCTCCTTAAACTCTTAACTGCTGAGTGGCATAGTCAGGAGTGCTTATGTAATAGTTATTCGTATTGGGCTGGGAAAACTTACACTTGTCTGAACTGCTTTCTGGGAAGAGAGAAAAGAAGGGAAGGGAAGCCCCTGTCGGCTAGACGCTAAATGAACAGGAGCAAAGGCATTATTTGAGAGCTTCAGGATGTTCTGTATTTCATCTAATAGTACACTAAAAAAAAAAAAGATAAGACTCTAAAGAGTTCTGATACTAAAGTCAAGTTGAGTTACTTAGTGATGAGGAATGGAATGAAGGTAAAGAACTAGGTTTGGAGGCAGAGCAAACAGCAGAGAGAGGACAGTTCAGAAATGAGGACAGAATGTAGCACTGGCTTTCTGGCTAGCTTGCTTTTTCATCTCCTGATTGGTTGGATTCCAATTAAATGGTGGTGCCTATCTGAATCAAGCTCTGAAAAGCTTTCCAGGTGGACTTTTTGAAGGAGGTTTTTTTTTTTGTTGTTGTTGTTTTGAGGGAGTTGTGATGCTCGCTGGACTGACCTGAGGTTGGCACATCTGGGTCTGAAATGTGCACATTGCTGGGTCCGGGCAGCTGTCAAAGCAAGAATATGACCATGAAGCAAAAAGAAGAATAGAAGTTCTATGCCGGGAAAGCTAGAACATTTTGATGGGAGCTGTGTTTCCTTCTGAGATAAGGTAAGCCAGATTCTTTCCTGTAAAAAAACAAACAGTTGCTTCTTAAATGCAACTAATGTATTTTACTTAGATTTGATTCTTTTAGGTTTGTCTGATTTTTTTTTTGCTAGTATCAGATTCCCCAGTTAAATTTTATGTCATTCATTTTGCTAAAGATCAATGTAAATAATTTTCATGTTATAGAAATGCAAGGGTTTGTGACACCTGAGCCAACATTCTTTCTAGTAAATAATTTTATTTACAATTAATAAGGACCAACATTTTTCTAATTCAAATAGGACTTAGTCAATAATTTTCACAATTTTTCAAATCCCAACTGGTTTCTTAGTCTTACAAATTTGTTTCCCCCCTAAAGCAAACATTTCCTAATGCTGTTAAACCTGATAACCTAAAAATATGCACGTGTCCTTGCTACTTATGAACTACTAAAATAGAAAAGAGTTTTGAGTTATAATCACCAATCCAGAGCCTAGCAGCATTCTAGTTTAAAGTCAGGAAATATTTCAACTCTGCATGTGTGTGTGTGTGTGTGTGTGTGTGTGTGTGTGTTTACTTTCTATAAAGTTTCTTTTGTTACTGTATTTAAATATTAAAGTTTATGAGACTGCTCCTTTTAACTATTTAAAGTAAAACAACCTACACTTTCCAGTTGATTGGATAATTATACTACTCTAATAATTTAGGACTTTTTTTTTTTTTAGATTTCAAGTGACAACTTTAAAGTTTAAAGGGACCAGCATTGCTCTGGGATTCCAGGCTGGGAAGGCCAGCTTACCACACCTCTCTCTTGGGTCCCAGGGGATACTCACTCCTGTTCCCTGACCGCTGGGCGCTGGGAGCAAGGCAGAATCAGCCACTGGTGAAACAGGAGGTGGTGTTAATTTTGAAAATGATCCATGCGGCAATGTCATGAACCAGGAAGCTGGAATCCTTTACCAGGTCCTTATGCAAATATTTGGTTTTTGAGCTCAAGGACTTGGAAGGAGTGGGTTTTAAAAAACCTGCTTCATAGTAGAGCATTCTCTTTAACTCCATGCTTCCCCTGGATTGGCTGATTTGTTTGCTTCCCTGTTACCTTCCCCAGGTATGTTAACAATATCCTCCCTGATATTATCTTTCCAGTCATGGGTCCAGTTTCTCCTTTGCTCCAAAAATACAAAGAAAGTCACCTCTCTCTTAGATTTCAAACAGCACAAAATCCACAATCAACCACTTGTGAAAACACATCATGGCTGGTTTAACACACACACACACACACACACACACACACACACACACACAGCTAATGGTTTAAGAAAGAAAAGAAAAAGTAAATCTTTTGATAAGTACTAACTGATGTTTTCCTTTGCCCAAAAGACAAAAGTAGTGTGTGTGTGTGTGTGTGTGTGTGTGTGTGTGTGTAAGTTGATGTGTCTGAGGTGTTTTTTGTTGTTGTTTTTTTTAAAATCTTCCATTTGGTCTTACATAGTTTCTCCTGGTATAGCTTGAGACCTGGGGTTTTTGTCTCAGTCTAGAAATTCCATACATGACTGCCTTTTCAAAATTGTAATTTGTGGATACTACTCAGACTTTATAACTAATTAAGATAAATTCTTGCCTGCTTTGCAATATTTGATACAATTAATTCTAACCTTAATGTTTCCCAGAGTTATCCTTCAACCACTGAACACATAGGAGAAAAGTCCTGTCAGGTATGTGCCATCCTTGCCTACTGGGTACACTTTTTTGTAGTAATCCTCGTATTACAATCCTATATCCTTCCAATGATTACTAGTGAAAGATCTTACATCTCCCTCTTCAACTGAAATTGTGTTGCTGAGGGCACAGGCTGAGAGAATCTTCCAGGAAGCAAAAGTAGAATGTGTTTCTGCCAGGCACTGGTTCAGAAGTCCTGATTCATTTTTTTTCCCTGAGTGATATTTAGAAAAAGATAAGACAGACTCCAGGGAACAGAAACTAGTGAGATACACAAGTGAAGTACTTTCCTTTGCTTCAGCTCCTGAAGCTTGTGAAGGAGTCAACAGCAGGCAAACTAATCAGTAAAGACCTACTAGCCACAGAATTACTTTGCTTGAGAGAGAAAGTCTTCAGGTCCAGGTAAAGCAGAACTCTACCAACACCAAAGCTCTTTCACGAAAGACTGTGTGTTATGAACATCTTGATTGGATGATAAGGTGTGGGTTCCAATAGCATTCTCCAGTTCCCTCAAGACTAGTTTGATTATTTGTAACCTAGTAACCTCAACTCACTTCCTAACTGAAGGGATTGAGATGGCCCGGCTGAGCTCCTGCTTGGTATGGCTGGATCCATAGAAAGATCAGCTTAGAGGCAACAGATGGAAAAGTCTTCTATACTAAGAATAAAATGACTTTGGGTCTACCTCTGACTTTACCATTAGCAACTGTGAGGCTTTGAACATCAGCTGTAATAGAGGAATACAGACTCCTGATCTACTTACCTCCTCTGATTACTGTAACTAAATGAAATAGTGAGCATGCTAAGTGCTTTAAAAGAAGCATCATTGGAAGCCCTTTACAGATGTAAGAAAGTTTTGCTGGGACTTGAAATTGTGCAGATGGAGATATTCACTTCTCCAGCTGTATATAAACAGGTGTGAGCAAACTCATACTTAACTGTAAACTCAGGACAAAAGCTTTGATGAACATTACTGAAGAGCTGGCTTTCAATCCTTGCTTGGAAACTTTGTTTTACATTATCTTCCCCAAAAGTTAACATTTATTGAGCCCTCACAGAGTGGAAAATACTCTTCCAAGTGCTTTCTCTGCAACAGCTCATTTAGTTCTTACAAAACTTTATGACCCCCAAATTAAAGATGAGGGGAGCCATACAAGAGAGGTGGAGGAAGCCGTATGGAGGAGATGAGATCTAAACCCAGTTCATCTGGCTCCGGAACCTACTCACCACCCCTACGTAACTTGCCTCCTCCCATTTCATGAGTCATACATCAAACACAAATAGCACCATACAGAAAAACTGTTCTGTGGCTGATGCTCACAGGCTGGAGAAGGACCAAAGGTAACAGGCAATGTGAGCAACCCACACTGACCCACAGAAATTGTATCATCTATTGAGGGCTTTCAGGAATGAGTTTCCTTTCCTTGAGAATGACCTCACCTAGTTTATTTGGTTCTGCTGCTGCCCTGAACACTTCTGATAGTACTTTACCTGCTTTACCAAGCTCTACCAAGTGTCAGAGTGATTTACAACTTCCCAGATCAATTTTGGAATAACCGGGGCTTACCTGAGGATTCACTCTAGCTTTAAGGCAGTGGTTCTGTGTAATAGTCCAAGGAAGGGGGGATTTTGATGACTGGTGATTTTCAGACAAATGACCTCAGAAGCTAAGTTTCAAAAGGAGGAGGGAGAGGAAGATGTCTCACAGATTCTCTAAACCCAAATGAAGTAAATTTCTGGAAGAGGTTTTTCTGAGCATGTGAAGATTCTATGTGCATTGTCTTCCTAACACAATAGCAATCCAATCACCTGATGGCTGGCTCTCTTTGCACTGTACCAACAAGATTGTTATTCTCAACTTTGATCAGTGAGTGACGGCCTTCCCCCAAATCCTGAACCCTATAACACCTCCCACCCCCACCCCAACCATCTGTGCTTTGTGGTTGCCTGTGGTGAATTGGGATGAAGGTGGGCTGGGAAGCTGTAAGACCAGCTGGGAAAGGCCAGGTCCCCCGGGGTGGCCCCGACACTACCCCACACCCAGGACTGGACGAGGCCTACCATGGGCTGGCTGGCAAGTGAGGGGCGAATGCTTACGGTTCCCCCCGAGGCTGCCTGGTGTGCCCTTCTTTGCTGCAACAGCTCCTTCACAGTGATCTTCACCCGGACACCTTGATACACCTTTGGTTTTTCTGGGGGAGAGGCAACTGAATCAGTGGTCAAGTCCAAGAGTTGGGGTGTCAGGAGTGAGGGCCCCTTTTATAGGCTACGGTACCCAATTTTTTGGAGCGGGCTGTGGGGCAGTGGCAGCTAAGAGATGGATGTGCATTTTCAAGATCCCCAATGGGAGCAGAACGTATCTGTGGGACTATTCGGTGGGAGCTGGCGCTGGGGCAAACATCCCCCCAAAATGAGCAGAGGAGCCCACCTCTGTGACTAAGTCAGGGGAGACTGGGGTTTGAGGCCCAGCCTGCTGAACGGGAAGAGAGCATTACGGAGTGGGGCAGGGGGACTCTGTCATTCATGCCCCACTGTGGTGGTTCTACTGGTGGGAAGCCTGCGGGCCCTCCCTTGGGCTGCAGGCCAGGCATGGCTGGAGGCTGCGGCCTCAACATGCCCTCGGCCTGCAAGCCAGCCGTGGGACGCGCGGCTGGGCTTGGCCAGTCTGTCCCGGGCAGGTGAGGGACCAAGCGCAAGGAGCTCTCAGTGGTCCCTTTCATCCGTCCACCGTCTCTCCCCACCCCTCTCCGCGGTGCACGGTGCACTGGGAGGCTCCAGGGCGAGTCTGTGCAGCCCGAGCTCCGCAGGGTGGGGGAAAACCGGCTTCCCAGGACCGCGCAGCCGCTGGGAGGCCGCCCTCCGGAAGGGGCCGCCCCCGAGCCGGCGGGGCCGGGCTGCGGCGCCCCGGGGAGGGAAGCAGAATGGCGGGGCGCGCGCTGCAGGGGTCCTCGGGGGAGGGACCGTGTGTGTGCGCGGTCCCCCCCCCCGGTCACCCCCACCCACCCCCGAAGAGCCACAGTGAGTAGATCAGGGCGAGTTAGGCCAGGCGAGGCCAGACGAGCTTTGTGGGCCCAGCGGGGTGGGCTGCGAGCGGCCCCCCCCCCCCCCGAGCAGCTCCGGCCTTGATCTTGGCCCTGCAGCCCGGGGAGGGGCCAGGCGCCGGGGCACCGACGGACTGTCGGTCGGGGAGGTTGGTCACAGCACCAGGGTTGACAGCGCCTCCCCTGGTCGTGGCAGGGGCCACAGCAGGACAGCAGGGAGGCACCCCCCCCCCCCCACACACAACCAGGCCAGATCTGGGGAGCTGAGGGTCTCCCCAAGAGAGGGGTCTGCGCTCTTCTTCGCCCAGGGCTGGGGAATCCTAGGCCCAGGTGCGCAGGGCCCCGGCGCTGCGCCTTCTCCTCGTTTCCAGTCGCCTTTTCCACCCCCCCCCCCCGACCGCCACCCTCCCTCCCTCCGCTCCGAGCTCCAGGCTCCGAACGGGGTCCAAAGGCAGGGCACGCGCCCTGGGGTCCGCACGGGGACGGGCCACCGCCGTGCGCGGCCCGACGCGCGCTGCTCCGGTCCCCGGCTCTGCGTGAACCTCTAGCTCCCCCGCGCCGCCGTTTCAGGGCGCGCGGAAGCTCGTTCCCCGCGAAACCGCACGACAGGACCATGGCAAGGTGGGAGGGCAGGCAGGGGCCTTGGGGTACACGATGTCCGGTGGCCTTGGGCCTCTGGCCCCTCCAGGGACCAAGCATCCAGCTCAATCAGCCACGGTTGTTGCCTCGGTTGGAGACCCAGAGAACCCAGCCCGGCTCTTACTGGCTTGCCCTGATTTTTTTTTTAAATCATTTTTCTGTTGTGTGCAGGAAAAGCTATGGAAATAACACCCGGATCCAAACGCCCCTGGCCCGCCTGACCCGACCCCTCGGAGAAGCAGCTGAGTTACCCGACATCCTGGTCTGCAGGAGATGGCTCAGAGACTGGTTTCAGCAGCTGCAGGAACTCAGCACCTAGGAGGGTTCCTGTGGAGGGAAGAGAGGCAGAGATGCGACATTTTTAAAGTTTCACAAAACATCCAGCTGCACCCAAGTCCCTGGAGCAGGAGACACACAGAATTAATGTTTTATACCTTCGGGTATAGGTTTGAGTTTTTTTCCCCTCATGCCAAGTATTTAAAACCTCTAGAAACCCATGATTTGACAATCAATGATTGCGCGATACTTTCAATTTGAATATTCAAAGGCTTAACAAAATGGACTATCTTCTGCAGAAATCCTGTACACAGGCACCCCACAGAGAGGCCAGAGAAACAGGGAGTGAGACCCCTTTGGGCCCTGACCCTTGCTTTTCTTGTATTTTGAGCATTTTGTCCACCTTGCCACAGACACAGCAGATGTCCTCAAAGATGCTCTGTTTTTCTACCTCCCAGGCAGCTCCAAAGCCAGGAGTGACTTGGTCTGCTTCTCCATGACCACCTGAGACAGGCTGGCCAGCCACACTGATTCTTGCATTCTTAATTTCCAGTTTAAGGGAAAATCTCAGGTTCTGGGGAGTGAACATGGCAGCAGCCATTGGGTGTGGCATGGAATAGGGGATACTCTGCAGGCCGGAGGGCAGCAGAGGCCTAAGCTCTGCACTTTGTGTCCTCCAACCCCACCTGGTCATGTGTCAGTGCCCCCTTTTTACCCGCTGTCCTCCCCGGCATTGAAACCTCAGTGTTCAGGGCCTGCCCATGAAGACCCTGTATGCTTTACCGTGATACTAGGGTTGCTATGGGTCTTGTCCACTGGAGATTTCCTAGGTTGGTGTTTTATCACTGCACTGGGAAGGTCTCTGTGTGCTACTGTCTCTCACCTGCATGAGCCATCCCTGCCTTCTTGTTTGTTATAGGACAAGTGGCAAGTTTGACTGCTGCTCCTTCCCTTTAGCTGAAGGGATGAGGATCTGATCTTGAGGCTTCTCTATTTGGGGGAGGCCTTTTCCGAGTAGTCCAGGTCCCAGGACCCTCACAAAGTGACTTGGGCCAGTGTTGGTACATCTCTGTTTGCCACACAGGGCTACCTCTTGCTTGTGAAACAGGAGTGATCCAGAGAAGGAGCAAGTACCAGGCCAAATCCTTGTATAATTTGTGGAAGAAATGGGGCAGCCTTAGAGGATAGATAGGGTGTGGTTCCCTTTGCAAAAAGCCAGGATGTTCCCAGGATGCTAAATTAGGTGATGGGATAGGCCCCTGTTCTCTAAGTTGTTTTGCAATGCAGAAAAAAAAAGTATAGTGTTAGCCCCAAATACTTCCAGAAAAATACCTGAATGCCTTTGAATGCAGGGTACACTATACAGAGCTCCCATAGAGAGTGTCTCTGTGAATAAGCCACACTTATCTATAGGTAGATGCTGTTATGTAGCCCACGCCACATCTCTGGGGCAGAGGACACCTGTGGTGGTACCTTACTGTGGAGTGCAGGGTGAAATATATAGATCAACATGCCAGCTGGGATTTATCAGCTCTTGAGGCCTATTTCTCTACAGGCCCCAGGGTTTCTCTGATAGAAGCCAGGCCAGGCCTGAGGACCAGACATGAATGGATGGTAAAGGGCACAAGGGGAGAGAACACCTTTCCCTATTCTTGTCCTTTCTCTCCTGTGGCTGGGGCACTACAGAATTAAGGATGATCATTTGCTGGCATCATTTCTCCTATGACTTCTTTTTCTGCTTTGTCTCTCATTCTTTTATCTATTATTTTTATTTTTTTAAACTTTGCTTTGTCTTTATTGTTTTTTTCCCCATTTATTTTTTTTCTGTGTCTTTCTCCTATCATCGCTTTCTCTATTTTCTGTCTGCAATACTGTTTTTCTCCCTGCTTCCCAATGTACCTTGATTTCCCCACTTTCAGGATGCTGTTTAGTGCTTTCTTCTTTCTAACCTCTTCTTCATGCAGAGATGGCTGGAGGTCACTGTGTTCCTGGGACTACATTGTGGTGCTTGTTGATAATAAATGGTTCCTCTGGAGAAGGCAGGCATGTTCAGATGGTAGAGGACTCATTAGAACTCCTCGGGTCTGCATGGACCGCAGAGCACCATGTCATTTCTCCCAGAAGCTTCTGCTTGAGTCACCGGAGCTGTTCTGTGCCATCTGTTGTCCCTGATTGCTGGAGTAGACAGCTCAGTAGACAGCCCTGTTTTGATTGGTGGTTAGCCCAACATTAAGGAGTTTTGGTTCCAATTTTGTTACTGTCATTACAAAACCTGAGCACAGTTATTGAAGAGCTGAACGTCATGCTTGTCATGTAAAGGATCACCCTTCCTAAATGAATCCTGTGAACCTTACTGAGTTGCATGTGTGATGATTCCTGGAGCAACTCCTGCCCTGTTTGTTTATTTATTTAATTTTTTGCATTGCTGGGATTGAACCTAAGACCTTACGTATGTTGGGCAAGTACTGAACCACTGAGGTACATCTCCAATCCCATAAGACACTCTTACCTATTGTTTATTGGATGTCAAACATCGTGTTGTATTTTACTTTCGAAGATAAGGGAACAAAGAGATAAGCAGCTTGCCAAAATTAGTGAGCTCATAAATGGCAGAATTGGAATTTGAGCCTTAATAGGTCTTACTCTAAAGCCCTAGCTCTTAACTAATCATTATTGTCTTTGTGTTTTTTTTTTTTAATAAAAGAGGCTTTTGAACTTTTTGGACTTCAATCCCCAGTAAGAAATTTAGTTTATATGTTCACATATAATTATACTACTTATCTCTATTTATAAAACAAACTGTTCATGTGCTGGTGGTTCATGCCTATGCTCATAGCTGCTCAGGAGGTTCAAAGCTAGCTCTAGTAGAAAAGTCTCCAAAACTCTATCTTCAATTAACCAGTAAAATACTGGACTGGAGGTGTGGCTTAAGTGATAGAACACTAGTTGAGCCAGTTAACTGAATAGTACTGGGAAAAACAAATAAGCAAACAGTCCCTGAAAAAAATGTGCACCTCTGTGTATAAAGAATTCTCAAATTTTCTGTGATGGTTGAGCTTTTCCATTTCATTCTGTTTATGAGAAATAGATGTTGATTGTGAGTCACCAAGTTAATTTAAAATGCCCCATTAAGGTATTGTATGCAGCACTGGGAAAAGCTACTCTTGACGTTGTATATAAAGGAATATTTGGTGTGTTATCTGTTTTAGTCTCAGCATATACAGAGAGCCCAAGACAGTGTAGCATGCTGGCCTCAGAGTGTTCTAGAAACACTGGAACCCTGAGGAAGAGGCCTACTGCAGATAAGTTGTTATATATGCTGATTATGGTGTGTGTTTTTCAGGTTGAGACTCTCTTGCTGGGAGCATTGTCTCCTCCAGGGTGTCTATGCTAAAGTCCTGATAAATCCCTTTAACAATCTTGACTTACAGAATGGGGGAAATGTGGAGTTTGACTCACAGTAATAGGCTCATTTTCTTGAAAATATAGCATAGGGCCTTAGTTGGGTATTGGAAAGGATCCTGAAGTATTAAGAGTGACTTCAGAGTCTTTTTCCAACATCTCTGCTGAAGGCTGTCTAGCCTCTAGGTTTGTTTCTTGGCTGAGACCCTGGCTCTGCAGAATACAGCTATTGGATTGTCTACTATTGGACTCCTTTGAAGTTAGTTACCAGTGATTGAACCATAGCCCTGTTAGGTATTGATTGAGCACCACCTATGTCCCAGGCCTGGTATAAGCACAGGGAATACAAAGAAGTCTTGGTTCTCCCATCAGTTGCTCTCTCTCCACCTCTCTCCCTGTCCTTCCCTCCTCCTCCTGCGTCATTCATTGTTCATTCATTTGCTCAATTATTCATTCGCTCACTCACACGTTCAACCACCATGTACTAATATTCTGCTGACCAGTTCCATGCTGTATTTGCTCTCCACCATGGCTTTCTTTGCCTGAGGCTGCCATAAGTGACCTTTTCCAGATCTCTGCTTTTCCTTGTCCCTGAGCTCAGAGATCCCTTTTTTCATTCGTGTTAAAGTCAGTCAGTGACACTGGGAGTGAATAGATGTCTTTTTAATGTTTTAAAGTGAATGTTTTAAGTGTGTGTGTGTGTGTGTGTGTGTGTGTGTGTTGGGGGGAGTTGCCCCATCTTTTGTATGCAAATGACACTTCAACTAATTATGCTTTTTCATCAAAATAGGTTTTATTAAACTGAAGCCCATGCATATTAAAAAGACTTTCTGTGTAAGGAGAAGGAATAGTTTAGTCCTCCAAATTTGACTATGACTCTAAATTCTCTTTATTAATGCAAAGTTCCTTTGTCACTTTGGCTTTGGGACACTGTTTCCAAACCTTGTGGGGAAGATCAAGTTCCAAAAAGTTGAATACATGGAGGAAATGAGAAATTACTGGGCTTAGGGTGAGCACTTGGTCCACATGAACATGCCCAGGAAGATTATTAGGTGGATTTGTGCTAAATCAATCTCTTCCCATAAGGTGTAGTCAGAGGTTTAGCTTTTTTTTGAAGAGATTTCCACAAAGGACAATCATTTGGTAATTTCTCATTTAAGTGACAAAATGCCAATATATACTGCTTGAAAAGTTCATGTAGTACTTAAAAATGCTTTTTATTATGTAAAATATATGTGAATATATATATGTATATATATATATATATACATATATATATATTTCTTTTTGTCAGTCATGGGGCCAAAACTCTGGGCCTAGGCAGTGTCCCTCAGCTCTTCAGCTCAAGGCAAGCACTCTACCACTTGAGCCACAGCGCCACTTCCAGCTTTTTCTGCCTGTTTGGTGCTGATTAATCAAACCCAGGGCCTCATGCATGAGAGGCAAGCACTCTACCATTGAGCCACCTTCCCAGCCCTTTGTAATATTAAAGATGCATAAAAAACATAAAAGATACCATCATGAAAACTCATGACCATATCACCAAGTTTAGGAAATAAAATGACGTAGTAATCTTTTTACTCAAGCTTACTTATTAAACACTAAAAATTTGGTATTATTCTATGAAGGATATTTGATTACAGGAAAGGTTACTAGTACAGAAGAACTAATTCCTAGATATTATTTGTTTGGCCTACATTTTTTTCCCGCTTACAATATATAACATTTCCCTCTACTCCTTCCTTCCTTCCTTCCTTCCTTCCTTCTTTCCTTTCTTCCTTCTTTCCTTCCTTCCTTCCTTCCTTCCTTCCTTCCTTCC